ACTTGTGAAAAATGGGCATCCGATGACTCCTTTAATTTATATTTGTATTATATTTTAGTGACTTTACAGACTGGCCCTACTCGCTTCCATTGTGAGTGCATCACTGTTTCCAAAATTTTTGCTTTTATTTTTTTGCCATTATGCCATAAATGCTGTCGAGTTTAGCTGGCACAGAACCAGGAATATTCTTCTACTTTTAGAAGTACCTGGTAAATTAATGAGATTCAGAGAACATTTCTGAGCGATGGCCATCGTTTTGTTCTCCTCCTCTCCATGGCAACAGTAGGTCACAGCAACCCCCAGAGTGCCTGAAACACAACAGACAGACAGAGGCCACGGTCAAAGGAAAAACACTGCTGATCGTATCCATTTCTAGAATTCTAATGAGAATGAAGATTAAATTCGTCCACAACAACACGCTCAAGTTCCAATTATGAATTCTGATTTTGGAGTGCTGCGGTCATTAAAAAGCTCTTGATGAGTTTGTGTTTAGCAGCTAATTATGAAACTGCTTGCTGTAGTTGCCCTTTCAGACTCTGACCTGTCTCAGAGCAGATGATCTCTGATTAGGCACTCTCACGTAAATGCCCAAGACACATTAATTCAAACCCACAGAGTAGAGGCTTCACATATATTGGTGCTTAATTGTTTTATAATTGGACACACCAAATCGTCCGGCACGACCAATACGGTGCATGTAGGTCTCCCAGTCCTGAGGAACATCCAGATTAATCACCAAGTTCACCTTCTCAGCATCAATACCACGTGAGGTCTGTGGAAGAGAGAGATTTAGAACAAATTAAATGTTGTTTGGGTATTAAACGTTGGGTATTTTCCAGTGTAGGTGTTATAATAGGTTCAGAGCCTCACCAGATCAGTGGATATTAAAACTCGACACTGATACTGTTTCAGCTTCCACATCGCCTCTAACCTCTGATCCTGACTTAAACCACCTACATGCAGAACACACATCAAGGGTTTTAAACATAATAACCATTAATAATGGCTTTCATACATTTTGGGCCTTCATTTAAATACCCACGTTCTAAATTATATCATTCTTATCCAAAACCTAGTGAGCTGCTAACAGGGGCTGCATTGTAAGGCATTATATGCACACACTCAGTATCAAAAGGTAGGCAACCTAATCATGGAATATATCTTCCATGATGAGATGCCTTCTTTTATTTGAAGTCAAGCGGCATTGCATATATCCTTCATGGAGAAGGCCGTTCTAGACTGCAATGCAAGGAGTTGTGAAATGTTATTATACATTTATAAACAATCTTATCTTCATTAAATTCAGATTTTTTTTCCCTCTAAAATTTTAATGGCATTTAAGTTAAAAGTTACTCTTTTTAAAAATGTCTCGAGACCTTGCAGGGTTTTTTTTTTTTCAGTCTACATGTTCTGTGTGAATGGCCCTTATGTAAACTATTATTACTTTGTTGTAATACTTCTCTTTTTTTTTTATGGACAAAATTAAGAAAAACCTTTTGTAATCTTATTTTTGAAAATATTTTAAAAATTAAAAAAAATAAAAATAAATTGTGACTTTTCATGAACTTAAATTATATAATTGAGATCAGTTACAACCATACATTTAATACTCCTTCATTCACTTGAGATCAAACCCACAGAATCAAACCGCTGACATTTTATAAAGTTTCAAAAGTATGATGCAACAAAGCACTAATTGGGAACAAAGGATTTGTAAACGTTTCTGAGTGACATAAAGCAGTGTTTTTAATACGCTCATCATTACAAATCATTTACTTACCATTACAAAGCTGCCATTAAGTAAAAGTCTGTTCAATATACAAGCAAGGCCATTCACTAAGTTTTAAAAGAGATCCAAGGTGAAGCTCACCTGAGATGCAGACCGCAGGCAAACCTTTAGAGGAGAGGATATCAGCCAGGTGCTGAGCTCTGCAGAACAACAGATCAACTCAGTCTTTCATTACTTTAAATAAAGATCACAATTCTTTTCTTAATAAAAGTCTTTGAATAATAATGAGCGGTGCTGTAATAGTATCTGTTACTCTTATTGCACACACCAGCATGTTTTCAGAATAATTGAAAGGTGTGTCAGCTCTTGCCTTGTATGGAGGTTTGAGAATACCAGCGCTTGGTTAAATGGGATTTTGCTGAAGAGTTCAAGGAGACTCTGAACCTTCTCCTCAAAGACTTTATGAGGTAATGAATGAGACGGCACGATTTTATAGTATTGCTTCAGCCCTGGAAAAGAGATAATTTCAATTCAGATTTGAAAGGGTATTCACAAAGAAGAAATACATCAACAAATCAGACAGGACTGCAGACTGACCAAGAAGTCCAGGGTCTGTCGGGTTCAGTCGCACAAACGTCGGCTCTCTCATGTATCTTGACAGATTATGTGCTAAAGATTCTGGGTAGGTGGCAGAGAGGGCCAACATTTGTTTGTTCGCTGGTAAAGAGGAGAAGATCCAGCTAAGACCGACAGAGAGAAAGTAAACTCAAACCTGCTGAATTACAATACAGAACTCTGAATCAAAATCACCTATTCAGCTCTTACTTGATCTGCTCCTGAAAGCTGCTGCTGCTGTCATCCTCCAGCAGCTTATCAGCTTCATCCAAAACAAACAAGCGAATGGAGGATGTAGTCAGGACTCCCATCTCAATTAGCTGCTTAATACGACCTAGAAATACAACAAAACTTCATCAACACTGCCTAACAAAATAAAAACCACAAACTTTATTAGAGGAACCTCTAGTTACTGTTATAAATACTATTCCAGCCAATTTCCTAATTAGATGAGCCAAATCTCACACTTTGCCAAATTATTTCATAAGGGACATATTTTAACAGCATATTACAAAAATTGTAAAACAAGCATTTTTTGGTAAAATACTCAAAGTCATAATGAAATGGAAGTAGCAACAGATATTTTCTTCCATATACTGATGTATGTCCAAATGAACCGGAATATTACAAAGGCAAAAAAAATAAAAAATCAGGGCAGGACTTGGTTCAATCCATCAGTGTTGACTGGATGGTGGCAGATCTGAATGTACGCTTGCAGTTGATCATCAGTTTAAGCAGACTAAATGATTGGAAAGTCCAGCTTATGTCACTAGACAGAAGTCTGTCATTTTTACTGGAAGACAGAATCAAGACATTTTGATTAAAAAGGTCCAAAAGAAAGCAGACATGAATTAATTGTTCATAATCAATACCACGCATTTGGAAAATAGAAGCCATAAAGGCTACTGATAGCTATTGATAAGATGATTTTCCCAAAAAGTCTGAACACTGACTGTCAAACTTTGCTGTTTATTTGAGCAGTCAGACCAGAGCAAATCAGCAACCAATTGTTCAGTTTGGGGTGGGACTATCTAACAGACCGACCAATGGTAGAGTGGAGGAGTGTTCAGTGAAAAAAGTTATTTTATCACTTCCAGTTGGTGATGTTAATGACAAAAAAACACACACACATCAACTTTAAATATGTAGTAATAAGGCCAGAAGATTATCAAGCCTACACATGAAGAAAGACATCTAAACATGCAATGTTAGCAAATCTAAACTAAGTTATAGTTATAAATATAATCCATCTAACATATCGATCTAAAAAGAATTTCAACTAGCTCATACCTGGTGAACCAATGGCAATGTGGCATTTCTTCAGGTGCAGTTTGTCTTGACTGATAGGGCGGCCGCCAATGAATACATGACACTCCAAGCCCTCCATAGCACTGCCTATAGCCATAACAACAGCATGAATCTGCACTGCAATCTCCCGAGTGGGGGCCAAAACCAGCACCTGATGGGACAAGAGAAGGGCACATTATTGTCAAACAGGCACACACTCGTGTTTTAGCTGCTTATATTTAACATCAAAAGATAGAGTCTTTCAAACGTTCATAGTTCCTTTATTCCGTTTTACAATTATTATAGAATTGGACACTGTTTAGTAAAACATTACATTAGATTCCGTTGCATATTGGAAAAAGTAATACCTGTGTGGTTGTGTTTTCCAATATAAGAGAGTCCAAAGCGATGGTGGTGAACACACAGGTTTTTCCTGTGCCAGACTTGGCTTGAACAATAAGATCTGGACAGAAGAAAACGTCAATAAACAACATTATTTCCCTCTAACGGAGCATGAAATACAGGCACAACGTTTTCATTGATGCACTATATTTTTGAATGTCACAGTACAGTCCTGTCATTTAAGAGCAGTTGGTTTTGCTATGTGAATAATGCCAAGACTGTTGGTTTAGGCTTGTTTTGGTGCTGTTTTCGAGTATTTTCGGGTCTCGTACCGAGTCCACATCTTCCCAGCGGGATTGCCTTCAGCTGGATGGGGGACGGTCTGTGAAAGCCAGAGGCAGATAACCCCTCAAGCACAGGTTTTGAGAGGAGTAACGAGCTGAACTCGACACCCCCGTTAATCAGAACATCTTCTGTCCGGGTTCTGGATTGCAACTCATGCGCTGCTTTCACGGGTGCCGCCATATTTCTATTGCGACTAAGTTCAGTTCTTCGACGCTGAATAAATGAGTTGCGCAGTGAGTCACGTCGCCCTCTTGCGCACAGAAACGGAAACGCCGCTTGAAATATCAGCAATATCCTGCAGAGGGCGACAAACACACTTGGTTGACAAACAAGCGATGAAATTTAAATAGAAACTGCAAACATGTAGGTATAAAAAATTACGTTTGACTTCAGTAGGGTTGAAATTAAAGCAAACTTTGAATACCACATCTAATACATTCCCTGCCACAAACTGTAATTACATGTCGTCTGAAAGTTTATTGTCCCATCAAGTTAAGACGATTTAACATTTGCTGCTTTTTGAGGACATCAAGCCCCCGGAATTCAATTCTATGTTATTATTTCAGTTCTATTATATATTTTTAAAGATTGTAAATGGACTAAGGCTCTTCCCCCTTCTAATATCCAATCAGAGTGAATCTTAAAATCTGAGTTAAAGCTGTACACTTGTAGCACTATTGTTATGCATGAAGCCTCCATTCATCGTGAACTGACCACTGGTGTGAAAGCATGGCCCGTTTTGTTGACGATCAGCCGTTAGTAAATCCTATTCAGGAACTTTTCCTTCAAATCAACGTGAATTAAGCTACATGACACCACATACACTTCAGTGGCTTGACTGTACTCCTCGCCTGTGCTGGGCTGTAATGTCATCTGAATGTAATCAGGAGTGTGTCAGAGGCGAGAGGAATATTATATTAGCAAACATCGCTGGTCATACCTCACGACTGACCATTACACACCAAGGCGGAAGAAACCAAAGAACTCAGCGGATAGCGAGATCAGAGGATCTAAGTTTTAATGAATTAACCTGCTTTTAGTTAATACAATATTTTAATTTTGTAATTCAGCAGTTATGGGGGAAGACCAAACGGATCTCGGTGACATGGACAGCAACCTTCGGCGTCTAAAACATGAACTGGTGAGATTTCCTGCTCTTTTTTTCTCTTCATCTACTTTTACAAGACAGGTGTGTTTATTTATCGCAAGAATCTTCTCAGATATGTACATGTAATAATTAGTATGACTCTGCATTATAATGTTTTCATTAACACATTTTTGTGCCTTTCTCATGCGATGTGTGTTGATGTTTATCCAGCTCAGGGTTGCCAGGTGTTCACAAGAAAACCCGCCAATCGCTACTCAAAATTAGCCCAAAACTAGCCCAATAGCGTTTCGAGGGAAGTGTTCCAAGGGGGGAAAATACACATTTTTTGGCGGGGTTTCCCTGCTACAATTCGCCTTCCAGGGGATAAATATCATGTTATTGGAGTCGCTTCAACTCACGGACATGAAAAACAACCCGCGGCAACAGTGTTAAAGTAGCCCAATTCCGCGGGAAAACCGCGGACTTGGCAACACTGATCCAGCTGTTGTCAGGACGCTGGAGAAAAGGTGCAACCTGATTGGCAGCGGTTTTTTGAAAAGGAGGCCGCTGATTGGCCGGTACTCGCCCTTCTGTAACGATTTAAAATGTAAAGGGATAGTTCACCCAAAAATGAAAATTTGATGTTTATCTGCTTACCCCCAGGGCATCCAAGATGTAGGTGACTTAGTTTCTTCAGTAGAACACAAACGAAGATTTTTAACTCAAACCGTTGCAGTCTGTCAGTCATATAATGGAAGTGAATGGGAATCACGGCTTTGAGTCAAAAAAACATACATAAACAAAACCGAATTAAACCCTGTAAAGACATGAAACGACCGGTCTGTGCAAGAAACTGAACAGTATTTATATTGTTTTTTACCTCTGATTCACCGCAATGTCCGAACTGTCCTGAGCGCGTTCTCAACAGCTGGCGCGTGACGCATCTTCTTCTTCTTCTTGCTTTACGGCTGATTGCAGACTTATAAGTGCATTACCGCCACCTATCTCTCAAATGGACCATTGACACTCTATCTACAATCTCAATTAGGAGTGTCAATGGTCCATTTGAGAGATAGGTGGCAGTAATGCACTTATAATTCTGCGATCCGACAGTTCGGACATTGCGGTGAATCAGAGGTAAAAAAAACGCTATAAATGATGTTCAGTTTCTTGCACAGACCTATCGCTTCGTGTCTTTACACATCAATGTGTCGATACGAGCCGTAAATTTTAAATTTAGCCTTACATTTTCATTTTTGGGTGAACTATCCCTTTAAGTGCACCTTGTGCTCATCAGATTAAAACACTTTAACTGATCTATAATAGAGAACACTATATATGTAATATACATTATACAGTCAAACCAAAAATTATTCAGACACCAGATATAATTTTTTTAATATTTTTATACTAGTGGGTGCAGGACACTATAGTTCATTTATGTAAGTGAGGATAGCAAAATAAAGTAAACTGTGACTTGTTATACCCAAAAATTATTCATACAGTGGACCACCAGTAAAATTGATAAAAATTTGGGACCAAAAATTATTCAGACACTTTGACCTGACCATGTTTTGCTTAAGTGTTTTTTTTTATTATTGCTAATTTATTGCCTTTTTACACCACATACTGAACAAAATTAAGCATTGCTTGGTAACTGGATGACCTAAATTGGTATTATCTAATTGTGTACTTAGATTTAACAGCTGACAGCTATTCAACCTAATTCATTACATACCTTTCTATCAAAGTTATCTGACATTATCAAGATGAATTTGTTCTGACACATTTTAACTCAGAGTTCTTGTCATATTTTATTACCGTTTTCTAAATTATAGCAAATTTATAGCAAATAAACTGTGATAATATGAGAAATGTTGAAGGTGTCTGAATAAATTTTGGTTTGACTGTATAGATCAGTGAACACATCCAACATTGCTGTAGAAGAAACCTGCAATAAACCCTTATGCCAGAAAAATGTCTTTCTTATTTACTCATTTATTTATATTTAAATAACCTTTATTTGTATGGTTGAGACTGAAAATGAACGAGCGAGAGAAAATAGGTGCTTGCCAAATGAGGAAACAGGGCCACAAGGATGTTACTCACAACATCAATCACTTGTTGGTGGGATCAGTGATGTCTGATTAATACTGCTGTCCGTCTGGGCACATCCCACCGGAAACTGACACAGGGGAAGTCAGTGACATTCCAAAATGAGAAATAGGACCTACGGCTGAATCTGATGAAATAGTGAACACGGAACATGCCACAACTAACAAACAGGGCAAGTTATAGACATACAAGTGATTAGTTGCTATAATTTGCCTCTTTAAACTGAATTCACATTGTAAAAGTGACTTTTATGATGACATTATGGCTCTACTGCCTACATAAGCAGCCAATATAACATCCTATTTGAATATCCAGTTCAGAGTGAATGGAATGTTTCAAGTACAAGTTAAGCTCTACGTTTCCCTACACCTGCATTTATGACCAACCCAGTAAAATACATGCCTCAGCTGTTCGCCCATGACTCACAGTCTAGTCATTTCACCCACATGCCCATGAGCTCCTACATCTCCCATCATGCCTTGAGACACAACACTACTGTAGAAAAGCATCAGTGGTGTGCTGCTGTGCTCAGACTGGCTGGTGATCGATCACACTTGTAAGGGAGAGAAGGAACAGAAAACAGGGTGTGAGATGAGAGAAGGAAAAATAGGGAAACAGAGCGACTGCAGGGTGAAAGAAGGTAAGATGACAGTGGTTTTATTCAGTAATAGAAGAAAAAGGGCATTTTTGTAGTGTATAGAGATGGAATTTGCTTGAATGTATTCAATTATTATAAATACAACTTATTATTAATACAATAAATAATAAATATAACTAAGCAAATACCATACAGTATGGGATATCAAAAGTTGATATAAAGATTTTGGCTCATAACTATGTATAAAGACATGCATTATGCTTTTCTGTCTAGGCCATGTTAACATTTAAAAAAAAAACTATGTTGTAACAACCTATTTTACAATTTGTAGGTATGCTTACAACTTTATATATTCATAATTGTCAAAAAATAACATTAATAAACATGCAATAAAACATGATCCCTCGGAAATAATTATAATATGCTGGTTTGATACTCAATAAACATTTATTACTATTATTTTTAATGTTGAAAACAGTTGTGCTGCTCAATGTGTAAACCGTGAGGATTCTTTGGTAAATAGAAAGATCAAAAGGACAGCATTTATTTGAAATTTTTATAGTTACATGAAAGTCTAGATTGTCACTTTTGATCAATGTAATGCATCCTTGCTTAATAAAAGTATTGATTTCTTTAAAAAATAAACCTCACTGACCCCAGTTTTTTAACAGTAGTTTCAAAGCAGCTTTAAAGAAAATCATGCCTTAATCCTCCAAGTAAGCAATTCATTGGAGGATGTGACAAGGACAAAATCATCTGCATTCTCTTGAAGCAGATGCTGAGCCAGGTATCTGTGATGACACACTGGGCAGAAAATGCAGACTGTTTGGTGTAATATTGACTTTTGATAATTACTGTGAAGTGAGTGTGAGATAAGCATTACTCATCAGTCACAACAGATTTCACTGATAATAGCTTCATTATGTCATAGATAGTAATTGCTCTCTTGCCTTTCCCATTATAGGATTCTTTGTGGCAGTCGGATGAGGGTCTCCAAGCTCAGATGAATTCTGTGATCGGCGCTCTCCAGGAGCTCAAACTCTTGCAGGTCCAGACAGCACTGGAGGAGCTGGAGTTCTCCAGTAAAACGAGCCAGGCCTCTTCATACACTCACACAATGCTCGATCAGATAAACTACAGTTCAAGAATAACCCACCGGAACCGAACACAGAATCCAGAAGAAATTCTTTCACAAGAATGTTTCAAGACTGAGCTTACCATGGAACCGTCTTTGTTCCTCACTAGTTCTCCAGCAGAGAACCGCCGTATTCTCATGGTACACGAACCCAGGAGGGTTTACGGAGGAAGTCTAAGCACTTCTTCCTCTTTTTCCTCTCAGGAAGACACAACCGACAACAATTTCTCCTCATACGATATTGATGACTCCACTGATTGGACAGCCTCATTGATGAACCATAGTAGAAACAGACAGCCATTGGTATTGGGCGACAATGTTTTTGCTGATTTGGTCGGAAACTGGCTGGACCTGCCTGATGTTGGAGGCCAGACAGCAGGTGAGGAGCAGGTGAAAGAGTCATCATCTAGCAGTCACTCTCAAGATCTCTCCAGGAAACTCTCACTAACAGCTAGCATCTTCAAACGGGTCCTACGCCGCGTTCGGCCTCGGCACCACCAAGAAAGCGAAGGAATGGATGTCTGTAAACAACCAAAGATCACATGCAGAAAGCCAAAATCAGATGTCAGCAAGCCATTCTGGGTGAGAACAAGAGAAATGAAGAAGAAAACCACACCCAGCCAACAAGAGGGCGTGGCTTATCAGGGCTCAGAGGGTTTGATAGGATGGGTGGAGATTGTAGAGAAACATCCATCTGTGTTTGATTACAGCTCAGCAGTGTGGGTCTGATATAGTTCTACATGGAAGACACTGTTACACATATTGTTAGACATAATTAGTGGACTTTATGATCAAAATTGTTGTAACATGATGCTGCCCTTAAGTGCACCTGGTCGGCCATTCGTTATTGCAACATCTCATATTCAAGTCAAAAACATACAGTAATATGGAAGTAGTCTAAACAAAAGAATTATATTGTGAACTACAAACACAAATAACTACATCTGAATTCAGAACGATGAAAAACATTCATTTCTATCACTTCATCATGGTATCACAAGATTCACAACTGAATGTGAAGCAAACCGTAAAAGTTAAGCGGTAAACACCATTCACTACAGATTGCGATGTTGAGGTAATATTGTCCTTCTTCCTCAAGTGAGAGGAGTAGCACTCCAGAAGCTATTGATTCCAAAGATTTGTTAGGTAAACAGCGCTGGAATGCATTTGTATGTTTTTTGTTGTTGTTTTTTGAGATGTAAGCATGGCAGAGTGAAGCAAACAGGGAAAAATATTAATACAGTCACACTGTGTTGCCCTACTGTTTCTGTGAGGTCCCTTGAGAGCCTAATGCGGTTTCTGCTGATGTTTGTATCCATCTGTTTAGGTTTAGGCCTAACTGTCAATCATTCTATGAAAAAGTCCTGACTGGTGCTTTTTCACAAATGTCTTACTCATGTCTTAGCTTTGCAAGCATAAACCTGCTTTGTACTGGACAGAAAAACTATGCAATGATGCTAAACTCTTATGCAAAAAATGAAAACTGAGCAAATGTAAATACCTGCCTTTTTTATCAGCACCTTCATGTTATCTGTAATAAATAAATGCCTGTGGGTCCTGCAATAGTCTGTATACCTGTTCTCAGAGCTATTTAATGATGTGATGTGGGATACGGTTTTAAAGTAATAAAAAAATCAATTTAAAGTTCCTGTAAGCCTATAAAAGTAAATTTTAAAAAGGGATATTCCACTCAAGTGTTATGCATCATGAAAATCTGCTTTTGTCACGCCTAATCATGAATGTTTATGAATCAAGAGACACTTTTTTTTGCAATTAATGCAGCATGTAATCTGGTGTGCAGCAAGTATAAATCCCCTATGTTTGTTGCATTCCATATCTGCAAAGAGCTTTGTAGAAAAATGTAAGATAAGTGAAATTATTTATATGGCTTTGTGCTATATTTGTAACTACAGTACATAAAGTGAGCCACACTGAAACACTGTATCTGTATAATGGTCTATGTTGGTGAGGAATGGTAATCTAGAAATACACAAAACACCACATCAATATGAAATACATTTATTTAAATCTATGTCCAAAAAAAAAAAAATCAAAGCACACATTACTTTAAAAACAAATCAAAAGCCAGCCAGACACTTTGTTTGAAATGCTCAACAAAACCATGGAGCAGAACAATGAAAACTAAAATAAAATATTTGACACATCAACACAAATTGGCAAATGAAGTGTCAAGGACTGACTATTGATTATTGGTTTAGCGGTTATCAGAGGAGAAGTCATCTCTGCATTATAGATCTGATTTCTTCCTTCTCCTGCTCAGGCACAAAACGGTTGATATTTATCCCAGGCTGAGCTACAGCCTACCGCAAAATACATCCAAGGGAAAAAAGGAAGAAAATATACTAAAATGTAATTATCTTTAAAAGCTGGAAAATTAATCTAATTTTGATTGTGAAAAAACAAATGCATTGGCTTCAGTACAATACATCTTAATCTTCAAGATAGACAGATCCAAATTTCTTATTTTAACTATACCACCAAAAGAAAACAGGACATTGTTCAGTTTGTTTAGATAAAAGGAAATAAGAATCTAAGCATATTATGGGGAACATGAAAGCAGTAAGTGTTCAAAGTCACTCAGAAAATGTTTTGATGAATGAAGGACAGCTTTTTCTCTGTACAAATGATTAGTGATAGTCCAAACATTATGGGAAAAAAAGAAACATTTCTGATCATTTTACAAACATGAGCATGTTTTTGAAATGTCCCCATTCTCTCTGTAGGACACACAGAGAAAGTCCTGAACCCTCGCCCAGACTGTCTAACCCCCCTTTGCCATGTCACAGACGGAGCTTCTGCTCCAGACACAGATCCTTAGTGTGGAATCTCCTTCAGAAAAAAAAAAAACAGTAATCAAGGAACGGGGGGAAGAAACATTTCAAGACTGCTCTGGAAGAAAAGGCAGAGGCTGCATCTCTCTTTTTCTGTCAAGTCTGTGTATTAGTTGAGGAGTCTGGTGTTCAGTCTTACTAATTGTTTGGCCAATAACTGTAGAGAGGAACAGGAATGTTGGCCAGCTGGGCAACAGTTCTTCATTTCGGCAATCTGAAAAGAATGAGAGGAGGGGGGAAATCATGCAATCCATCAAGTAATCCTTTTGCAGAGCTGCTTAACCAAAAATGTGGTTTAGCATCACAAAACATACAAGTCTTGCCCTAAATGCAAAAATGCTAAAGCTCCAAGTGGTGCTGTTTTTTAATGGTGCAACAAGATGCAAATAATGCCGTTAAGATGACTGGGATTGCTTTTTGATAGCTTTTCTCCAGGTATCACCACAGATATTAAAGATCCACTGATATTAAATGGGTCATGATATGAGAAATCTAATTTTCATTGATCTTTTAACATACACGTGGTGGTCTCTGTAACATTAAAACAATTAGAAAAAGGCTTTTAACCATTTAATCAAGCATTTATCATTCAATAACCGGTATTTTGAGGATCCCTAGTAGATATCGCTGATGCAAAAAAAAAAACAAAACACACAGGGTGAAATCTCTATCATTGATCATGGATGAAAGGAGTTCTTAATAGCGCATGTACTGATTCATAATGAACTTCTGATCGACTACCTGGCTCAGAGCTGCTGCAGTGATGCAGTTGTGTTACAGCAGGATGCAGTTTGACTTCTTTTTCGCTCTCTTCTTCTCCACCGGCGTCTTTCTGTTTATCTGTCTTACCAGGCCATAAAAGATCTGATACACACAGACAAAAACACAAAGGACTTCCATTAGAGGACTGTCTTTGTGTGACCTGGTGCATGTGTTTTTTTTAACTGTGACTCACCTCATTGACGTTGATCTTTGATTTGGCAGAAGATTCTAGAAAGGCACAATTACTCCACTGACGAGCAAGATTCTGACCCTGCTCCTTCCCAACCACCCTCTCATCCTCTAAATCACACTTATTCCCAACCAAGATCATTGGCACCTATACAAACAGAGAGAGACATCTGATGAGTGTGTGTACTGTTTGCATCTGGCTTAGATTAGAAACCACACTCACTGAGAGTTCAAAGAAACATGGCTTTGATTTTAGCTAGATTGATTTTTAAAAGATCAGCATCTTATTTAGAGGCACAAAACATGTCCCGTGCTCATCTAACATGGATTCGTATACACATTACTGTTCAAATGTTTGTGGTCAATGCAATTAAAAAAAAAAGAAATTAATGATTTTATTCAGCAAGGATGCATTAAATTGTCCAGAATTGGCAGTCAAGTTGTTTATAATGCTACAAAAGATTTCCATTTCAAATAAAAGCTGTTCTTTGGAACTTTCTATTCAAAGGATCTTGAAAAAAAATTTTTATCACAATTGTCACAATAAAAATTAAGCAGAGCAACGGTTTCAACACTGATAATAACAATACATGTTTCTTGATTACCAACATATTAGACTGATTTCTGAAGGATCATGTGACACTGAAGACAGGAGTAATGGCTGCTGAAAATTCTGTTTTGCTATGACTGGACAAGCTGTGACCCGGGACCACAAAACCAGTCATAAGGGGAAATCTTTTGAAATTGTACATCATCTAAAAAGGTGATAAATAAGCTTTCCATTACAGTTTTTCTGAATTGCTAAAACACATTTCTTGAAACCATCACTAATTTTCTCAAAACCTTAAACACAAATCCAAATACTCAAACTAAATTCACGAAACCGCTGACTCTTCCATCAAAATCAAACAATCACTGCAAAACCATTTCACTTGCACTCAAAATCAAACAGTGCTCTCAGATCACACACACATGAGTCAATAAA